AAGTCACATTCTAAAAAGGAGCATACTGTACGTCTTCTTGGCAGAACTTAACCTTGAATCAGGAAGTCAACTTTCTTTAAAATTTAAGAGATTTATGAGAATGTTTAACCCTCTTATGGGGTCAATTTGACCCCATTCAATGTTTAACATTTCTAAATAAATGATTGACATAATTTTCTTTGCTTCATATTTAATGAATTTTCCTAATTTAATGGGGACAATAAACATAAAATTAACATGATGATATGTTTTTCAGTGTCCGGTACACATGTTGTAATCATCCATCTTCTTTGGGGTTAATTTGACCCCAGGCTATTTTAGCTGTATAAACAAACTTTTCATTTTAATTTAAGGGAAGTTTAGAAGACACTTAACCCTTCCTAGATTAACTCCGTAAAATATACTGTTTTGATGCTACAGTACCACTTGGTATTGTTTAACAATTAATAATGGTAGCAAACTTACGCTTATGTTAGCAGACTTAACTTGTTTTGACATCTCAATGTTTTTGTCTCATTTTTAGCAACGTAAGTAATCACCTAATCAAAGAATGAACTATTAAAATAAACTGTATGCAACTTTTCTCAACACAATGCAATAGATACATGTCCATACTTATTCAAGTTCAAGTTTGACTCCCACACCTATAGCAAACATGAAGAGAGGGGGAAGTGAGGGAACATAAGGTGACCGCACGCTCAGCAGTTTTGAAAGAGGGATGAACAAACAGAAAAAGATGCGGGCAAACACAGAAGGACTGAAGAGCAGGAGGGACACTGTATCTGTGAGGATGAGGAGAAAAGAAGAGGCAGTCAGATCGCATACACATCCCAGAGTGTTGTATTCACCAGGGGCCACTTTAACAGTCGATATAATGGATAGCACATGCCTTTAAAAGGGAGCTTGTTTCTTTATCTGCTTACATGTAGTACATGGCAACAACAATGGACCCGAATAGTGCATTGAAAATCTACTGAGACGTCGTCGATTCTCATCTTTCCTTTACAAATGGCAACTTAAAATGTCAATAAACCAAAAAATGAAGTGAGGACGAAGACAGGGATGACCATCAATGCACCAGAGTATGAGAAGTAAAGACTTCTAGTAAGTAAACACAGAGAAAGACAGGTGGAGCTGAGGAAGAGGAGGGGAGGTAAAGAGGACTTGTGGGGGGGGGGGGAGTAAGAAAGTGCAGCAAAGAGCATTCAATAAACATGTCTCTATAGTAACCGAGATGTAATTTGCTTGGTGAGAAAAAGAGAAAGATGGAGATTCAGGGGGGGAGTGATGGAGAGAGGGGAATAGAAAAGCATTTACCATCACTGCTTGAGTCCAGAGCTGTAATTACAGAACTGAGACGCAGCGAGCGAGGGGGAAGAAAAGAGCAGAGGCACACATGAGGAGAAAGAAAAGGCCGCACACAATGTGCTATTTACAAAAGGAAAAAGGTGAGAAGAAAGAATACCCACAGGTAAAGTGGTGACCCCTTAAAATTGGCACTGTTGCAAATAAGTGTGGTAGGTGGGACAAAGAAAAGAAAGGAAATGAGCAGTTTGAGAAAGTAGGAAATTACGAAGAGAAAGGAAAAGATAAAGTTGTTAAAAGGGTTGGTTTTGTTTATGGAGCCAGCGGAAGAGAAAAACTTGCTAACCCCGGCTGATCATTATGCAAAATACAAGAAGAAACAACTCTCCCAAGTTTTAATGGAAGACGTAGGGTGAGAAAAAAAGAAAAAAGACGACAACATGGATATAAAGGAGGGAGAGGACAGGAAAGATCGACAGGTGGAGACAAGATATCTTACGAGAAGCGCCTCCAAATATGAGTGATAGACAGGATGAGATGTGCCGAAACATGCAGAGATATCAAACAGTAAGAGCCCAAAAATATCAGGAGCAGTAGGAAAACAGCGAATTGGGACGGCCCCACTCTGTGCGTTGTACTCAAGGACAGACAGGGTACTATAAAGAAAGAAGTGTGTCATGCTGTGTGTCTTAAAGAGAGCGTATGTGTGTGTGTGTGTGTGTGTGTGTGTTAATGGTAGTTGATTACAGCTCTGGCTAGTGGCTTGTTGTCAGCCTGTATGTGGAGATAACAGGATTAAAAGGATACTGACTACTACAGCAAAGAAAGGAGAGGAAGAAGTGATCATGGAGAGAGAAACAAGAAAAGTAAAACACGTGTACAGATGAGTGACAGGTCGGAGTAAATGAGCCCCCTGAGTAAAGAGTCCATACAGGGCCAACTGGTCATTAAAAGCTCAACTAAATACCACATTAATATGATTCATTTTGCAAAGGTCTTTGCAATCACCAGATCTCAACCCAGTTGAACATCTGTGCTGGACTAAGGCAGCAATACTTGAACATCATCAAAACGGCTAATACAGGAAAGCAGTTTTGGAAGAATGGTGTCCATTCTCAGACACTATCACTGTTGCTGCTCTTGCAAGCCTCACACCTTAGACACCTTCTTTTTTTTCTTTTTTCTTTTTAACTCTTCTGTAGATTGTAATCTCCTGAAATCTGTGCATGCACATGAAGGAAAAATACAACAGAATCCATCTTTCTAACTCTCACTCTTGATTGCATATCACTCATAGAGCAGACATTTGCACAAATGTCACCAGTGGAGCGCAGAGCAAACTGGCAAAAAATATTTCTGACTTTCAACGAGCTACAGAAACCTGGAGAAAATCAGCATGGCCAGGACTACGTGATGACATTTTCATGAATCATCTTTGGCTTCATATGAGATGCTTTTAAGGCTCAAAAATCTCAATCAGCCTTGACAGTATGAGGTGTGAAGTCTCGCACAGACACACAAGTTTCTGCTTAGGTAATTTTAAGAGAAATATTCTGAATTTGTGTTTTTGTCTATACTTTATGCACTTGTCTGAAGCTCTTGGATCCCAAAATGTAATGATGTATGTATGTGTACATAAATCAGTGTGTAGGAGTATTTGATTCAAAATAAGATATAGATTGACCAATGTCGATCAAATCTGATCCAACAACACCAACACAGTCCTTTTCAGACAAGGTTTGAATGTAAAATTCAGGAAAAGTGCAGGAAGGTATGTTTTTTTTCAAATCTTACTCCTAAAGAAATAGATTCTGGGTGAGGGTCTGGACTCTAAGGAATAACAGGAAATGTTGCTGAGAAACTGTGCCAGGAGACAAGAAGAAAAAAAACATATTTGGTCAGTAATGAGAAGATCAATGAGAGGGAAGATTAGGACAGATGATGGATAGAAAGTGAGGTAAAAGAAGGAAAATATTTCGGCAAAGAGTGTTGATAATGATGGATAGCAGACTCAAAGGGGTAGAAACAAGTATAAAAGAAAAGAAGTGAAAGATTGAGAGGGTTAGAGGACAAGGAGAAGCTGCAAGTTTGTGTGCTAAAAAATTCTATTTCCGACCGTTAATACATCCAAAATCCATCAGCTTTGCAATCAACATGGCTCTTAATTTAGTGCACATTTCAATTGGTGCTCCCATGAGGTAAATGAGAACACTTTTCTCTGCAGACTAATCTGAGTCAAGAGGGGAAACCGGTCAATTTATAGTGTGAGACAGAAACGTTAGCTGCAGGGCCGCTGAAAACTTAAACTGTTTTATTCTGTGGACAATTCCAAATTGAAAGCTAGAGACGGTTTTTTTTTTCAGAGAACAAGAGCGAGAATAAAATAATTTTCTCAAAGTATTCTTAACCGCCGGCGCTTTCAACATTTCTTAGGAGCTGTCTGGTGCTACAGATCAATCACAATGAGGGAGAGAGAGGGGAGACCCCCGCAGAGTGAGCTGCCCCTCTCTGGTCTGCTCCACGTTTGCAGAGGGAGAGCTAGCTCACAAGGGACAAATTAGCCACACAGGAGCACTGAGGCATCATGGGAAATTAATGATCAGGACCTCCAGGAAGTGAGTTAATGAGTCCTAGTAGAGCCACACACATATGTAGCCTACAACATGAACCACACACACACACACACACACACACACACACACACACACACACACACGATTAAAGACGGAGAAACACGAGAAGCAGGAGGGATCCTGCAGGAAGGAAATAGCCAAAACATGAATATGAACAATGCAGTAGCTAATAACACAAAGCTATCAGTGCAACTTTGTCTGCATGAGTGATAGTGCTGGAGCCTCAGCAGAGTTAGTAATCTCCCAAACACCCACATAGAGACACACACACACACACACACACACACATGCACACTTAGGAAATCAGATAATTAGAAAGGACCACCAGTGGCTTTAGCCCATGGAGGCGTAGTGATTACTGTCACTACACTCTCCCCTGGGGCGGCTGACAACAACCAGAGAATTAATACTGATCAACACACACACACACACACGCACACACACACACACACACACGAGCACACATGCACACACAAGCGTTACTGAACTGAACATGGACCATGTGGACACAGTGAAAAGAATTGCTTTCAAATTTCTCCATCTTCAATGTTATGTACCTAAGCGCTTCATTTAACCATGAGCTGCCCTGCTTTGGTATATGAATATGAAACAGTAACTTTCTTTGTAGAGACTGAAGGACTGTTAGGAGGTGCTGAAGTTTGCTTGTGGACTCCCGTGAACCAGAGGCTCACTGCTGGAGCGCCTTTGAGAAAAACTCTCAACTGATCTGCTCCAGGTCTGAAATCTGACTCTGAAGTTGTGTGTTTTGAACCACAGCCTAGCCTGCTGCATTTAAGCCAGGTTTAGGCTGACCTCCACAGCTCCAGATCAGTCTTATCAGAGCTTTAATTAAAGACAAACAGATGGTCTCAGGATCTCCTGAAAACCGGATCAGTGACAGACAAGTCTACACACACCAGTCGGCGCACCTCACAAGGATTTAACTTTGCGCTACAGTATCACACATCACCACACCCTTGTCAGCTGATTGGCCTAAAGTTTGCCGGGCACCGCCTTCTTACTCTAAGGATCCGCCCTTGAATCGCTCCGCAGCCTGTTGCTGCCAAACCAGCTGGCAGTTTCAATTGATAGTCTGACCCATAACTGTTGGCTACACTTCGAACCCGTGACCTCAACCATCAAGTTTGGGCACTATTTTTACTCTAGTGTCTTTTAGTAAAAAGGTCCAAAGCCAACATGCGCAGCCCGGATAAACTCTCAAGAACACTCAACTCTGGAGGTCCTCACCTTGCCCTCCGCAGCCTGTGATTTAACCCTTTCTTTCATCGACTTCAGTCACTTTACCTTTTTGGCATCATGCGATTCTGCAGCAGAATATAACGGAGAACTTTGTTCATGAATTGGTGAATCTGTCGTGTGGAAAACTTTGCTCACGGAGCTCCTTTTCTCTTCTCTATCTGTCTCCTCACCTGATCTGCACGCCACTCCCAGCCGCGCGCGCACAGCCTCTCCGCGGGCCCTGCGGCGGTCAGGATGGGCTCCCTAATGTGGACCCCGGGGAACCTGCCTGCTTGGAAAGCCACAATTTTCCTCTGCAACATCATCTCTGCTGCTGTGGCTAAAAGACACATTGTGTATTGGAATTCTACCAACACAAGGTGAGGGATCACTCCGTGCGTAATGACGCTACTTTACAGGACAAAATAACATTTTCTCTCTAGGCTCGTTCTCTTTTAAATAAAGTTTTATGGTCAGAGCCAAATGTAGTTCATTTCAGACCACTTTGCATACAACAAACGTTGCTGGTCTGAACTTGCACAGCCTCCCTATTGCACAACGACCACAACAATTCCTCCTAAATGAGTCAGACTTCAGTCGGTTTAAAGAATCTCTGCTATGCTGCAGATCCCGTCCTCGTGCACTTAATTGAAGAGTGGCGCAGAGCAGGTATAAATACCTAAAACCTGCACTAACCCTAAAGCTATCAGACAGGATTTTTAGTGTCTAAATGTAAAAATCCAGAATTCTGGGGGATACAGTGATTAATTAAAGACACAATGAACTGATCTCACCTCATTCTGCAGGTATTTATCTTTATCACAGTGACTAACCATGGCTTTCACCTGTCTGCAGGTGATTATGTTACTCATACAGAGTCAGAAGTGAGGGTTTCTTCTCTAAATATTGCCCGGGAAAGCATTCTGAGCACACAGGTGTTTATTAAAGGCTAAAGTGCTGCCTGATATAAGATAATGTGTAGTTGGATAATAGGATAGTGTGTGTTTGTGTGTGCATGTAATAGGTTGATTGGGGCCATCAGCAAAGCAGAGACAGGCTCACCTGCTGATCCAGGTGTTCCAGTATGTTTAATTGAAGGGTTGAGCTGATGGACCTGCAGGGCCAGTAGGGCGACTGCCCAAAATAACACACTCACTATTCTCTCACCCAGTAATTTAGAGAGTCTCGCTCTCCTCGACGCCCTGATTCCCCAAACACACTTTAAGATGGATGACCTTCTTACTTAATAGCTGTTGGCCACAGAGACCTCTTCCTGAATCACAGATTTTGTTGTGTTTTACATTTGTGGATGCACAAATTGGGGTAGAAATATGACTCGAGGGAGGGATAATTTCCCCAGGGACCCCTTTTGTCAGGTCTCCAGGATTCATCCTGTACTGGAGTCCGCAGAGGTTAGACTCAGTGTGTCCAGGCGGGTAAAACCCAGTCGTGTAATTGGGATCCAACAGAAATGTGTTGTGGAGGAACGCTGCGAGGATTAGGAAGCACCTTCTTGTTCCCCAGAGATTCAGGGATGAATGGTCACAGCCTGTGGCAGGGCCACACAGTCAGCTGCAACACCACACAATCACAATGCCATCAGCATCCCGGCGCAGGGTAACCCACTGTGGCAGAGAATCACTCTCATCAGCAACACCACCCAATCACAAAGCTATCAGTGGAGCCGTGATGTTGCACCCGCTCCAAAATCCCCTGGGTTTACGACTTGGACTCTCTCTTTTCTTCTCTTCTCTTCCCTTCTCTTCTCTTCCCTTCTCCTCTCTTGTCTTCTCTTCTCTCCTTTTCTCTCCTCTCTTCTCCTCACTCTTCATTACCTTCCTTGTTACATCCTGCCCTCCTTTTCATTTTTTTCCCTCTGCCCCTTTATCTCTCACGGCTCCCTCCTGCCCAGTGATGGATATTGGCGGAGTGATTAGTTGAGCTTCAGTCATTTTCCCATACCATATTTTCTATTAGCTGCAGGCCAGCCAGCCAGGTTGTCCTGAGGCCTGTAAACGTAGCCTGGCGAGGGAAGATGAGCACGGGGAGGGGAGAGGGAGGCTTTTGTTGGCTTGGCGCTGCACTAGAGGATCCAAGAATATGTACGATGCTAGTGGTACAGAAGGCAATCTAAATCACAAAATAAGCACATTTGGCTTCTTGTACACTATCAAAATCTCTAGGGTCATTTCTTGAAGCTACTCTAATCAACATTTTTAACCAAACAGTGGAATATACACCTATTGTCTGCAATTTGCAAGATAAAATATACTTGCTGCACTTCCTCATTGCTCTACTGAGTGTTTTAGCTTCGTTTAGCTATATTTAGCAATATTTTGGTTTAACAGCTACTTTCATTTGCCTTGTTTAAAGTGAAAACTGGGATAAACATAACTTTAGCTACCCGGTCAACACAGAACAGCGATAGCATTCAGCAGTTAGAAAGCCTCACAATTCACCCTGGAGCTGTCGGGGGGGAAAAAACAGGGCAAATATTGATCTTGCAAAAGAGGGAATTGAATTATAATGCTTACATTGTCAGAAACAACACTTAAATACTTGCTAATGTTGGTTTTTGTCCTCTAGATCTGTAAATATCTTACCGTTAGCTTCCTGTTGGCTAACACCAGATACGTCCAAGCTATTTCATGAGTGGGCACGATGTTGTATTTGACCTAATTCTGCTAATTTCCATTGATTTATCCTAACATGAAAATGTATGCCTTTTTAAGGAAATTCCTATAGCAACTTTACTGTTATCTGTAACTGATAATGTATGGTTCTGCATTTCAGACTCAGAGCCAAATAAATGTGTGAGCCAGTTTATTCATTTCATCTGAAGAGATAGAGGAGCTAGCTGCAGTTGTAGACAATCAGTTAAAGGTTTAGTTCATTCACAACACATCTGTAGCTGGTGAGAAAACTTGCTCCTTTTAATACAAAGACTGAAGACATTCTCTTGCCATCACCTTTCCTTCGACATCTAGATTTATGGTTTTAATGAAGCGGGGGCAGTGAAGTGGAGACTGAAGGGCCTTGTTGCTCTGTTCTTATGCTGGCTTATACGACTGTAACTAAAGGCTCAGTGAAACACTTTAACTGGCACACATTTAGCACCCTCAAGATTGAAAAATGGAGCTTTGAAATGAAAGTGATAGACTGACTGCAGGGTCAGCGTCGAACATGGCAGAATCAGATACGCCGGTCTCTTTCTCTTTTGTGGGGCTCAAGTGGTTCGATTGCCCTCTTTTATGATTTTATGAACACAGTTTACGATCGTTCTCGGTTTTATTACAGTGTTTCTCTCAAAGCGATAGCTCCTTATTAGAAGAGAAATTATTTTTTACTTCCTGGAGCAGTTAAAGGTTAGTAAAATATTATAACCAAAGGGCTCTAAACTCGAATGTGTTTTTTTGTGTGCTGACAGACAGTATACCTCAGCGCTCCCTTGAGTGGCGAGCTCAGACTAGTTATTGGTATATTAAGCCCCCTCTTTTGTGCCACGGTGTGCTTTAAAACCTGTTGGACCATGTAAGTTGACCAGCCATCTTTGCTGATCCAACAGTGTCTGCTTCTTGTGCTTCATTCATCCTCATATATTCACTCAGCATGTGTCAGAAAGTTTACTCAGAGTTCCACAACTTTACCGATTGAATTACCTCAGTCCCTTTCCTGCAAGAGATGACTTGAAAAAGGCTTTTACTGTCTGTGTAAGGGCTGCACACTAACCTCTAACAAGAATAAATGTCACCCAAAGCTGCACCTTAAATAAGCTACTCCATTTCCCTGTCCCCTTACTTAGCCTTGTTCTTGGCACACACCTCTAATACTGCTCCCCTTCTTATCCGACATGGCAGGAGGCAGACTTGTTGCAACAGTTCATCTGGATCTGTATCAAACTTCAAACTCTTGTTTCCTGACTCCTCTTGTTTTTTGTTTCCCACCAGAACGCTGGATTAGCCCACTGTTAGTAAGAGATTTACAAATGTACATAGAGAGATACAGCGTATTATAACTAATTTATCTTACCTGAATCCTCTATTGCTCACACGTGTAAGCTTTCGGCAAGTTTGGACGCACATTTTATGTCATTTAAAAACAAACACCAGACCCCTCTGAGCTCTCTCTCTCGCTCCCTCTGCCTGCGTCCCTCCCTCCGTTTCTGGCGGAGGCTTAGGCCGAGCTCCAAGCCAGTGAGGCATGTTTAAACGGTGCGTGAGGAGATGAATATTTGTATTGGTGTGCTGTATCTTTATTGAAAGCAGCTCTCATAAGTCTGCCGTGTAATCTCAGCTCTGTTTATGCATCATTTCCCTCTGTGTGCACTCATGAGTGATCTAGTTTAAATACCAAGGTAAATCACATTCTGCATACCACGCCTTTACACACACACACATGCACACACACATGCAGAGTACAGTAAAGTGAAAGCAGACAGTGTTTGTAATTGTGACTTGTCAGGGAGATGATTGCACTTCTAGACTGATTTCTTTTTGATATCTTTTTATTATTTCGGCATGTCTGCGTCTCTTCCTCCTCTGTTGTGTCTGTATGTGTGTGTGTGTGTGTGTGTGTGTGTGTGTGTGCATGCAAATGAATATTTTCTTTGCACTGTCTGCTATCTCTCCTCTCTATGTCTGTCTCTGTACTAATCTCTGTCTTCCGCTGGTAAATGATTAACATGGAGAACCTGGCTGAACTATAATCAACAAACCCACAGTGAGGTAATTACCACCTTATTCCCTGTCCCGCTAACAAAGCAATCTCTCTCTCTCTCTCTCTCTCTCTCTCTCTCTCTCTCTCTCTCTCTCTCTCTCCTCATCTGTCATCTCACTATGTCAGTGTCTCTCTCCCTTTTCTGTGTCAACGCCTATTGTCTCTCCTGCTGCAGCGCTGTGCTTTCTGTGTAGATCCAGAGATGTTTGTTTGCTGATTGTGTGTGTACCTTATCTGTCTTTGTAAATGCACTTTGTCTGTTTGTTTGTGCTATTGAGTGTATTATCAGGAGGGTAAACTGTGGATGAGTTAACTGTGTGTACACTTGAGCTTCTTCGTCACTGTCGGAACACAATGCGGGGCAGTGATTTTACTGATTTGTGCGCTTGTGAATTGACATTTGGGGACATTGTTGGCGGTTGGAGTTCACTTCAGTGGAACAATGGCCCTGTTAGGTGTGTGTGTGTGTGTGTGTGTGTGTGTGTGTGTGTGTGTGTGTGTGTGTGTGTGTGTGTGTGTGTGTGTGTGTGTGTGTGTGTGTGTGTGTGTGTGTGTGTGTGTGTGTGTGTGTGTGTGTGTGTGTGTGTGTGTGTGTGTGTGTGTGTGTGTGTGTGTGTGTGTGTGAAGTGACCTGCTGCTTTGTGTAAAAAGGAACTCTGTTTCC